GTTCTCAATACTCTTTTTTGTTATATATAATAGGATAATGGATTTCGAGAGAGTTGAAGCTTCGGTTTGGACGTCGGAAAGCAAGCAGTGATTCTCAATGTATTTTTGTTATATATAAAGGGAATGATTTGTGGAGTATTTTTGGAGGAGAAAGCAAAGAAAATTTCAGTCGAGACTTAGTTATGAGAAAGTTTAAAGTTTATGTGAAGCAATGATTCTTAATGTATTTTTGGAGTGAATTTTTGAAGTTAGTATAAGAAAACTTAAATTTATGTGTGTAAACAGTGGTTCTCAATGTATTTTTATTATATAAGGTAATGATTCGTATTTTTGGAGGATGAATTCTAGAGGAGAAAGCAAAGAAAAATGGTGTACGAAAATCAGGTTACTAGAACTTTGAATTGTGTTACACAGAATCTGGTTAAAATTAAAATTAAAATTGATTTCATCGACGTTAAACCATCTCGATATGAGAAAGAAATACTTCAGAGATTATACTTCGAAGAACGTAAAGAAGAAAGATTATTAAAACCAAGATTAATTTTCGTAATTAACAATAGAGAAAAGGAAGAACGAATAAATTCTTATCCGAGGATTGAAGAGCTTCCATGACGTAACCACGTGACCGGAATACTTAAACCCTTGCGTCCGACTCCTGACTTCCATTACCACTTATCCTAGCTACAAAGCGTCTGACTTGCGCGCTCCGTTACTACTGCAACCCGCGTCTCTTATGTTACTCATCCAGCTATGGATGTGTCTCGAGGCGATATACGTGAACCGAATATGTCGATACGTCGCAACCCTTTCTTAAGATCGATCTACAACACCGGAGTAAAGTGGGTGTAATTTAATGGCAACAATGATCGAACATAGATCGATCCTTCCATGGATGATCGTCGGCGAAATTTTGTGAAGATATCACTAGCCTCCATCCATTAATCGTGTTATTATTTGGCTCGTGCAAAATTTTCTTTTCGATCATTTGTGCGAATTCGTTGAGAAATGTTTTAGAAAAATTTCAAGAAAAAAATATCGAGTATGAATTGCTATGTTTCTTAGATTATGATTTTGATTCAACAAGTGTGTTTTTATGGTTGAGAAAATTTGTTGAAGATTAAAAAAAAAAAAAAATGATCGAAATTGTAATATCGTGATTCGTGATAAGTGTATATTATGGAAGATTGAATTTTCACAGTACAATTCAATCTTTTTATGGTTTTGAAGTTTCTCTATGGCTTGGAGATATATTTAACGAGACCCGTGAGAAGGATAAAAGAATTTCCCTTGTGTGAAGGAAGAGAGTTGAAAGTTTTAACCATAGCCACATACCTGGAAAGTAATGGCTTCTCGTTCAATTTGAGACATGTTCTTGAAGATATTGTTGATAATACCAAGGAATCTTTCTCGTTCCAAGAAACTGGCCTGGTCCTTCTCGAAAATATCGTTGAAGTCGTAAAGGATGAAATAAGTTCCTGAAACAGAACAGAATTTAACCACGTTATTTGAAAAAATAAAATAAAACACTCTTTCTTTTTTTGAAACCTATCCAAAACTAAAAAATCATCGTTGTAATACAATGAAACACCCTATATATATATATGTAAATAATTCAAAAATTAACTCAAAAAGTATCTATAAAATAAAATACTTGGCCATTAAAGAAAAATAAAATATTCAAAAGTGTTTCACTCTAAATGCTTTGATTAAAAAATAATAAAAAAATCAAGTCATATCTTATATAATACACAGAATACTATAAATAATGCGATATTTAACATCTCAGAAAAAGTACCTACAAAATACTTAGCCATTAAAGAAAAATAAAATATTCAAAAGTGTTTCACTTTCACTAAAT